TCTCACAAACATCACATTCAACCACAAAAAAAACTCAACTATCTTTCCAAACAAAAAAAAAAATTCTCCAATAATATCTTATAACTAAAAAATTTTATATAAAAACACACTTCCCAAACACCCACTAAAGTGCAACTGTTACACTTTTTGTTCAAATTGATAGAATGTGTAATACACATGATATTTTCAAGAGTGAGCATGCTATTTATTTTTTTATTATAAATAAAGTGAAATAAAAATAATTGAAAGATAGACCTATCCCAGATCCTACAATTCATGATCCCATAAACGGGACGCCATGGTCTAAGAATTCATCATGTTTTTTAGTTTATTCCATGATTCCATTTGGTAATTTGGTGAATTCAAAATCTTGTTCTTTGATTCCCAATTTCTATATTGTGCATATATATATATATATATATATATATTTGTGTAAAATATAATAAAATGAAAATTAATTTAGAAAGTTAAAAATTAAACTAAATAACTAGAGATTTATAGTTTATTCATTTATTTTTTTTTTGATGGGTAGTTAATATGTAATTTAATTGAATTAATATTATTTTTTCATGTAAAATTATTATTGTTTAAGATAGAAATTAGTTATATAAAATAAGAGAGAAATAAAATAAGAGGAGCAAAAAATAAGGTAGAAGGCCAAAGGGGTATTAAGGTAATTTCACGTCTTTCAGTTAACGGAGTTAGTGTTACAATTTAATCCAAAACCATAAGGGATTGCTTATTTCTGAACCATAAGGAGGTAAACTGCTTCGATCCCAAACCACAATGAGGTAAAATGCCCTATTTTTAATTATTTCAACATGGATGCTCTTAAAAATAAAATAGATGAGCTTCTTTGTGGATTGGACTGTATTTTTGGGCCCGTGAAGCCCACTACGGGTACCGTTTCGATGACCCGAGCTATTCAATGTGTAAAACTTGTCGAGTATTTCATCCATGCAAAAAATCAAGTTAATCAGATATCGATAGCTCTTGATCGGAACACATTTTTGTCAATAATAAATATGATTTTAAAAATAAATTGTTAACCAAAATATATTTTAATTAAGGGGCTATCGATATTTAATCAACATTATTTTTTGTAAAGATAAAATACTCAATGAACTATATATATTGAACAATTTAAATTATTAAAACAAGACCGGATCTCATAAGTCTAACAATACAGTCTGATCAGAAAAACCCATCTCAAAATAAGAAGAGTGAAGTCTCAGTATTTACTTTTACATTCATATTTCACATGGATGAAATGGGCATAATTGTCCTCTCTCATTAGGAGGGGTGCTCAATTCATGAAAAGTAAGGGCAGCAAAATCAAACACGCCTATATAAATAAATAAAGATGAAAATGGGGGGAAACAAGTATAACTAATTTAAATTCAGATTCCAATAAAGATCAGAAACATAAGTAACTTTGGGATTTGGACTTTTTTTGTTCATATGAAAAAAAAATGCATTATTTTATGGAAAATTCATTACTTTAACTGCACAGTACCAGTTGACTGGGCTTTAGGTGGTTTTGTGGACTTCAAAAACTGCTTCTTAATTGCAAAAAAATAAAAAATAAATAAAATAATTATTTCCATTTAGAACCCTGTGGCCATTGTACACCTTTTTTAGTGTAAATTAAACATTTTACCCTTCACTTTCACTCATATTTTAAAATTTTTTAAATTTCATTTGAAGTTTACAAATTTTCCAGACAAATTACTTTTCACTTATGTTTTAACTTTTATTCAATTTTATAAATATTAAACATTGAATAACGAAAATATTACATTGAAGCACAAATATTGAAGTCTGATAATTTAATTATTACAATTAGAAAGCGTGTGACCAAATCTAAATTTTGATAAATATTAGAGAGGAAAAATATAATTTACCTTTTTTCATTTGTCTTTTAATGTTTGTTCATCATTGCATATATCATTATTATTTGTAGTCTCTTGCAATATTGTCATATTATTATTCCTAATCACGAAGTTATGTTGTTTAAACCTTTGAATCATGAGTAATTTGCTTAATAACCACTCTCAAAATGCAAGTGTTTTCTTTTTCTTTTTCTTTTTTTTTTTTTTTAAAAAAAATTATTGAGGATGTTTAGATAAATATCAATTATAAGTGAGGATGGTCATAAAGGAAAGTGAAATCTCCTGTTTAGCAAAAATGCCCAAGATCATTGGTCCACCCTTCGAGTGAAAAAAAAAAAAAAAATTCAAGAGGGTTTTTACTTTGTAAAATATTAGATTTCATGTGACACCTATTGTTCATGATTACTAATCCAAAAAGAAGGGTTATTATTTTCAACTCCGTTACGTAACTTGAAATATCAAAGGCTCGAATGGCACGAAATCCCAAAACGACGTCGTTTTAGGATTTTTTTTTTATTCTCTTACCGGTAAGATAATATTTTTCGTACCATTCGAGCTCTACGCATTCGAGCTCTACGCACTTGAGCTACGGATCATTTTGGTATTATTTTTTGTCACCTTTGATTGTGTTTAGTTTATGAATCTAGTTGGAGATCTGGGTAGGATTTTTTTTTTTTTTTTTTTTTTTTTTTTAAAGATTTTTTTTAAAGGAAAGATGAAATGCGAATTAAATATAATTATGTTTCACATACTTTAAAAAAAATAAAAATAAAAATTCTATCTAAATTTATGATCTAAGCACAATATTAGTAAATTTGTTGTCAATTGATTAGTCTAAAATTTAAAATGTCATAAAACCATGGATTTGTTAATTTATATCACAAATTACTTTGGTATAACTTATGTGTAATATCTGATTAAAAAAAAAAATACTTACATGTAATATCTTAAATTTCTTATTGGATGATAGAGTAGGAAGGACTAAACTGATACGCAACACACGATATTTTCAATTGAAAAAAAAAAAGAAAAAGAAGAACTTAACATGATTATATATATGGTTGAGCAATATATATATATATACATATATTATACAAAACTTAGAAAGCAATAATTTAATTTTTTTTTTTGGCATAATTATCTTCTTTTTTTTTTTTAAATTGTGAATAAAAAATATAGGAGAAATTACAACAACAAATTTTTTTTTTCAAGGTTTGAGCCTCATAACAAAATAAATTCTGCATTTTTAATTTTATCAATTTAAATCCTAATTTTTTGATTTATTTTTAAATCTAAATCATTTGCCTATTTTCGTCAAGAGCAACTCCAATCATATTCTTCATTTTTTATTAGCTAAAATACAAAAATATATAATTTTTTATTTTTCCTAATTCATTTTTTGTATATGTACTCAAACGTTACTCTTTATTTTATCTATTTTATACACACAAACTTTTTAAAGAGCTTTTCAAAACTCTTCAAATGTAAATTAGACTTGAACAATTTTGTTAAAATATCTATTGTAATAGCTAACTTACTGGATTGACTAAAATATGATAAGTTTAACTATAACAGTTAACAAATCTCATTTTAAAAGTCTTTTAGAGATGCTGATTGAAAGAAAAAAGAGTATTTCAGTTTTTAAACTCAATTAAAATGATATTTTAGATATTTTATGTATATTTATATTGATTATGATTTAAATTATTAGTTTATTTTATAAGGCTAAAATTTTAATTTTTTTTATAGTAATTGTCAGTGAAATGTATTTTGCTTGTGCAATATTTGACAATTTGATGTAATCCTTGAAAATACACATCATCTCTCAAATATTTCTTTGTGAATAAATTCTCTTCTTTTTTGGTCAGAAAGGAAGACAATAATGTAAAATGATTTTAAATAAATGGAAAAGAGTTAAAAATTCAAACTGCCATTTTTTTTTTCCGAGTAATGATACATTCCTCTAATTTATGAGCTCTAATTAAGTTCTAATAATGTGACAGAAAATAAAAAAAATAAAACTAAGACTAAAATATCACATCACCGTAGAGTCTACTCACATTAGAGCTCATAGAGCTTCTTTATTAGAGCTCTCAATCATTTTTCTTCTTTTTCTCGTAATATTCTAGATTCTCTATTATTATGATTTATGATCACAAAATTAAAAATACAAATCATGCCACTTTAATAAGTTTTAACCATTGAAAAGGGTATTTTGGAAATATAAAAAAAATTGTTTTCCTGGTAATTAATTCAAAAAAATTATATACAAATTTACTTTTATATTCATTTTCTAAACTCAATAATATATAAGGCCTCTTTTGGGAACAAAATAAAAAATTATTTTTTGATTTTTAACTTATTTTAGGACATATCACCTTTGTATTTTTTTTATATATTTTTAAAAAAAATATTAAAAAAAAACAAAAAGCCAATTTTTAACTAATTTTTCAAAACAATCCTAAGTAATATAATTAATTGATAATCAAATAAGATATAAAAAAAATATTACATTTAATATCATAATTAATCATCACATTATTAAATAACAGTTCTTTGTAATTCAATTTTCTCTCATCACACAGTGTAGAGTAGGACTACAGACAGAAGTCTTTTTAGCTTCCATACCCCATCCATCCATTAATAGAGGGAACTCAGAATTCTTTCAACAAGGGATTATTTTATAAAGTGAGTTTAACTTTTAATTCACTTATCTTTCTTATAAAAAAGTTAAAAAAATTAAAAAATAATTTTTAAATATGAAAAAAATATTATAAAAATAATTATAAAAAATTTTCTACCGTTAAATTACACATTCAATAAAATATTACACACTAATCAAATAATGAAAAATCTTTATAAAGTATTTTATAATATTTTTTTTATAATTCTTAATATTATTAATTAATTATTTTCTCGAAAACACCCCCAAAGTACACTCAAAATTTAAAAGGGAACAGAGCAAACAACACTTCAGTGAGTTTCTACTTCTGGCGCCATTTTGCATAAACAAAAAAAATCAAATCCGTGTCTTTCTCTCTCTAGAAATATCTCTATCTTTACTTTTTTTTATTTATTAGTTATCTCTATCTTTCTTTTTTTTTATTTATTAGTATTTTTTTTTTTTGTTGTTGAAAAAAGGGCTTGGGGATGGAAGAGAAGGAGAGTATGGTATCTGGGTCACCAGTAGTAGGTAACTGGGAGACCGAGTCGCCGCCGGTGAGTGGTGGTGGTGGGGTGGTGCTGCCGCAGGTGATGATGAACATGAGCATGGAGAGAAGCCTAGGGATCACCACCACAGGTGGTGGTGGTGTAGCTGCTGGTGGTGGTGGTGGTGGTGGTGGTTTGTTGGTGAAGAAGAAGAGAGGGAGGCCAAGAAAGTATGACTCAGATGGTAACTTGAGACTACCATCTATACCACCACCACCACCACCACCAGGTTTTTCTTTCTCACCTCCTTTTTCTTCTTCTTCTGAGTTCTCTTCTTCCAAAAGGGGTCGTGGCAGACCACCTGGTTCTGGTAACTGGCAGCTGCTTGCTTCTTTAGGTGAGTTCATCGAACCAAGCCTTTAAATCTTGAGATCACTTCAATTAAAAAAAAAATAAAAAAAAAATAATCAAAATTTTAGCTTAACAAATTACTAATTTTATTTTTTTATTTTTTGGTTCCCACTTTCTTTTGGGATTTTGATTATCAGACAATTAAAAGAAAAAAAAATAATAATAATAAATTGTGGTTGTGGTTTATGTGGAATGATTATATGAACAGGTGATGCTGTGAAAATTTGTTGAAAATATTTTTCTTTAAATTTTTGTGCCTGACATTGTAAATGCCTTTTTCTTATACAGAATTGATATGAGTGATAATTAAAGAAAATGTTGGTACTGAGGATTAAGTATCCACTTTAATAGAAATGGGGTTGATTTACTTAAGATTTTTACCTCACATTTGATACCTTGATGATCTGTGAAGGTGAGTTGTTCGCAAACACAGCAGGAGTGGACTTTACACCCCATGTCGTAACTGTATACGCAGGAGAGGTAATACATTGCATAGATTGTGTTGCGATTATTAGTTTGTTTTGACTTAATTAAAGTGGGTGGAAGGAAGATCTCTGTGCAGATCTGAGGAGTGTAATGTGTTTGTGGGTACATCATAAAAATTGAATGTTGTTAGTTTGATACCCTTTTTCAGGATGTTGCAGCAAAGATTCTTTCATTTTCTCAAAAGGGTCCTCGAGGAATTTGCGTCCTCTCTGCCAATGGCACTGTTTCTAATGTTAGTATTCGCCAGCCCGGTTCATCCGGCGGGATCTTGACATATGAGGTATGTCTCCTAACATTGTTGTGAGGTGTCTTATATTTGTACTATATATGTAGATGTAGTGTAAGAGGCCTTTAAGGAGGGCTGCCGAGAAGTTCAGAGTTTAGAGGTATTTATTATAATTTTGGGTTAGGGTTTTAGAGTTGAGAGTGTGACAAAAATTGTTGAGCAGCCAAGTTGAGATATTCAAAACTCTGTATTATTTATCCTTTTATTTTTTGTTTGCTTGTTTCTCTTTATTATTTTGTGATTCGTGCTTAACATTGCAGAATGTTTTTAAATCTCTCCGTCAATACTAGTTGGGGAATTCTTTTTATTTCTGCCTGGTTGAAACAATTATGATCATATAGACCTCTTTCTGATCTGCCTTTTAGCTTACATGAATGAGTTTTAGTCATAATTATGTGCCCATGTTATTTTGGATTATTACTATTAACAATTAACAAGTGCCTTGGATATTAACATATTGAGTTTTTTGTTTTATTTTCTGTTTTTTACTTTTCTGATTTGTGTGATGTGCATGTGTTTTAAGGGTTTCTGCATGAAGATATGGCTTTTCCAGAATTCTAATTTTCTCCTTTGGAAAATGATTACTAAGACCATCTTCAACGTTGCATCAGATTAAGTATCAAATTCAAATTTGATGAAAAAAGTCACTTTTTCTCTTTGTAATGGTTTTACCTAACTGATATCAAACTGAGAACGGAACAAAACTTTCATCAAACTGAGGATAAGCGTGAGATTTCACCATTTCACTGTGCTGTAATGTTAGGGGTGGGCTAATTGGTCAACCAGCCGGACGTCCGGCCGATTGACCCACCGGTCGACCGGAGCATGCACACCTCCCTCAATATGTGAACTGGTTCAAATAGGTAGGTTACTTTTGTGGAATAGGAATAAATTGAAGGTTGATATAAATTTGAATCATACTAGCATTATTCATCTCATAAGCTCCTAAAAGTGTGACTATATATTCATCATCAGACTCATCATCAAAGGATGAGGAAGAAGAAGAGGATGAAAATGAAGTCAACATTATGGAATTTAAGGTAGTCATTATCCTCTGTTTTCTTTCAGTTATGTGCCTTTCAGATATAATCGTATCACTTGTCTGGTATATGCCATATGGATAATGTGTTTATATCAGATTTTTGGAAGGAAATCATTATTGAAGGCAACAAAAAATGAAAAATATATAATGGAGGGAAAAAGAAATAATAAACGAATTGGGAACAGAAAGGGAGGGAGAAAAAAAAAATTGAGAAGCCTAGCCGGTCGACCGGCCGGACGTCCCCTTCGCTTTTGATGCACACTACAGTGTAACCATTGGAGCTACTTGTATTAGATTGAGAAAATCAGCTTTTTTTTACTGAGATTTGCTAAAAATTATACTGAACCGTTGGAGATGTTCTAAAGCAACAAATAAAGTGTATGGATGTTTCTAAGGAATCTGAAACATGGAAGTACACAAGACTGCATATTTCTGTGAGAATAGCTGTGAGGTGTGGGAAATCAGAACCTTCCTCTGTCAAACGACCATAATTCCCAAAATCTAAGGTTATGTTTTCATTTTCCACATAAAACAGAAAAGCTGTTTGGTGAACTGTTTCTCAAAATTATTTTATGGAAAATTTTTTGAAACCCACTTTTGAAAAATGAGGAGTGTTTTTGAAATTTTTATTGATTTTATTTCCGAAAACATGAAAAACAAAAACACAACCATATAGAGCCTAAAGTTTTTCCCTTCTGCTGTGTGCATTTTTGTACGAAAATGTTTTCCCTTTACTTCTCATCATGGTTATTAGAATCCCGATCTGGATCTTACGATCTATTTGAGTATAATCGATTTGGATCATGTAAAAAATTTCTTATAAGTAGGATCTTTCGATCTTGGTAATGAGATCTTATAGGATTGTGGAATCTCAATCTGAATCCGATCCTATCCGATCCAATTCACAAGCCTTGTTTTGTATTATATGATATATTTTATTGTAAATTTTATATTTGTTGTCTAAATATCAATTTATGTGGTCAAAATAAATAATAAAAATTAAATAGTATTGAATCAAATAGACTAAGAAAAACAAACTAGGAAACAAACATTCAAATATTGCGGTAATTTAAGAAAATTAACTAGAAAAACAAACTTAGCTTTCGCGGAGTCTAAGGAAGATAGGGTGATTGCAACTTTATCCTAATTTTTGGAAAGATTATTTTTGTGACTCGAATCCGCTCCATCAAGGATGCTAACGACAAACTTTATCATTCGGTTAAAATGCACTTTTGTTCTTAATCTATTTTCATATTCAACTTTGTTAAATATTTTTTCTTCACTTTTTATGCATTATTGTAGATTGTAAAGTATTTTGTTATAGAATTCTTCTTCACCTTCTTTTTTTGATAAAATACAAAATTTTTATTATCGAGTTTTCTATTGTATAATATTAAAATGTACATTTTACATGGAGTATTATATTTTTCATAATATCTTCACTTCTTTTTAATAGAATATAGACTCATTTTGTGTATACTTTTTAAGAAATATTTATTTAAATTAAATTATTATGTGATTTGTTCTTTTCGGTAGGATCTTACGATCCAATCCTATAAACACCTTCAACGATCTAACGTAGGATCCCGATTTTAACAACCTTGCTTCTCATTAATGTATATTATGATGGGATGTGGTTGTTTGTACCCATATTTTGTTAATTTTCAATCTTTAATTTCGTGCAGGGCCGCTTTGAGATATTGTCTCTGACAGGATCATATACAGTCTTTGAAAATGGTGGTGTGAGAAGTAGGACAGGCGGCCTAAGTGTCTCACTAGCTGGTCCTGATGGCCGTGTTATTGGTGGTGGTGTGGCTGGTTTGTTAATGGCTGCTAGCCCAATCCAGGTAAGAATTTACATAGATACATGTACAATTCAACAGCATAACCATAGATGAACTCTCAATACGATGACAGTAAGGTCGTTAATGATTGGGTACCTCACTCAGAAGGTTAATGCCCCCTTTTATATTACTTGAGTTGATCTTCGACAGTTTTGTGTAAACTACTTGTCCATGTTGCTCTGCCCTAGGCGGGATCGTGTCCCTTGCCTAGCGATTTCCTGGAAGCAATGAGCATAATCCCACCATTTGAGACTCATTCTTTGAGCTCGGGTTTGGCTGTCTGATAATACATAGTGACCATACACATTGTTCAGGCTACTGAGCACGGGTCCTACTTGGCCACCATCCAACTTGCTCGGCCGAGCAGCGTGATTGTGCAAAATTACCTCCCACGGCATAATACTTCATATTATGCATGAAATGCTTCTTGTGGCTGTGATTATGCCATGGCTTGTAATCTGTTATGATAATCACGTGATTCTATTTTTAGGAGTGCAAGTTGTTGTGTTACTTTATCACCAACTCGCATAGGTAACTTAGTTATTAAAGGTCCCACGATGAATGGTAAGCTTGAACGTTCTTGGAAACCATTTCTGGTGATGTGCACAAACTGAATTGATACACGTGATTGGCAAGTGATTGTGTGCATCCAAGACTTACTTTATAGAGGTTCCTAGTTAGTGAAAAAAGAGAGAAAAATCTAGAGATTCACTTTTCTCTTTCTCACAGATATGAGACTGTTGTTGGAACCTAAATTTTTTTTCAATCAAACCAAATCCTATTAAAACTAAACATTCTGGAGGTTCAAATGACGTGGGTTGTGGTTAATTTTCCAGATTGTTGTGGGAAGCTTCATGCCAAATGGTTACAAAGCATACAAAAGAAAGCACAGTTATGAACAAAGAATGACTCCTCTTACACCAGGTGCTCCTCCAGACACAGTGACAGCAGCAACACCAATCTCCCAAGCAGCACCTGCAGGTGCCATCTTCCCAATTCCGACAACTCAATTACCGGTACAAAGCCATGGAGAAGCAGATAACAGCCCGAATGATAAACAAAACCTGAATGCCACATCTACCGATAGCACTGGATGGAATGACTCAGAGTACATGTCAGCTCAGAGACCATCTCCTGACATCAATGTTTCTCTGTGGCAGTAGAATAGTCCTCAAGGTGTGTTCTTTGTTTTGTTCATTTGTAATTTTATCTTTTTAGTTAGGTCTATGTTAGAGACTCAGAGGCTGACCTTATGATTAATGACAGGCTAATTTTTAACTTTGATTCTTGTTGTAACATTAACATTGGAAGAGAATGTTTTAAACCTTCTGCCTGAGCTTGTGTTAGTGACAAATTCAGCTGTCAAATTCTCTTAGTATTTTTCTTTTTTCTTCCTGGAAACTTAATTTGCACATTTTTCAGCAGAGTGATGGTTTATAAGTCACTTTTTCTTTTTCTCAGTATTTTTCTTTTTCTTTTTTTGTTTTGTTTTTGTTTTTTGTTTGATTTGTTCGTTGTTGCAATGTGATCTGTAGCTAGTGTTTTGATGTCTTTTGAGAATGAATCATCAATTCTCTCCATGAGGAGCATCTTCAATGGTGTGAACTGGTATTATATTCAGGTAGTCCATGTGCAAAGAAAAAGTGACTTATATTGTGGCAGTCCATGTGCAAAGAAAAAGGTGTTTGACCCGATATCAAGACTTCTTGGCTGTGAGGCGGGGTCGAGTTGCAAAAATAATCTCTAAAAATAGAGATAATAATAAGTACATTTTATCCTCTACAAATCTCACTTTAAGTAAGTATATTTGTAAGTTGAATTTGTTTTTTTTTTTTTTGATCGACAAATATTAATTGTTAGTTGTTAAATTATCTTGTTAAAGAAAAAGCACCTAATTGCTTGCACTCTTTTAATTTAATTTTCTTAAGGAGAATTGAATCTATGACCTTCTTAGTATTAAGTCTTAAGTAAGGCATGGTGGCGAACTAAGTTAGGCCTAGTTGGTTTTTGTAAGTTGAAAAATGATAAAGTGTTGGGACTTAAATTTGATTTAGATAAACCTGTTTGAATAATCTTGTGTATAAAAGCAAAACAGAAACAAATCCAAACAAAAAACAATAAATTGACTTACAAAATTTATTTTTGAAAATAGAAAAGAATTTCAAAGATCAAGTCGAGTGTGTAACGCTTTATCTTTAAGACAAATTTGTCGTTGCACAAGTGTTCACGGATTAATGGAGTTTATCTTTCAGGATTCACTGATCAAACGTAGATTGTAGAAGCATTTCAAACAATCTGTTTAGCGAACTAGAACTTATATTTTGCAGTACTCTCTTAAATCTCTTTAAAATTAGTATAAGGAATGATGCAAGGAAAGAGAAAAAAGGGAAAGGAAATTGACTGAATTGAACTACTGGAGGAGCCTGAATTTATAGGCATAGTGGTGTCCATTGGGAAGCGTAGAAAACCCTCCAAACAAGTGCAAGTTTGAATTGTCGGAAGAAAAAGAAGAGGTGACCAAAGAAGGCACTATTTCAGGAAAATATAAATTCAATTTTTTTTTTTTGCAAATTTTTGAATTATTTCATTTCATAAATTTAAATTTTCCAGCAAGAATTTAAAAAAATTCAAACGTATTTTGTCCAAAAATTTAATAGCAAGACTTGACCCACAACCTACACCTGTGCCTAGCCTGGCTAGACGATGACGATACATGCATGTGGTGTTGAGTTCAAAGCATGCTTGGTCCATAACTTCCCCCTCTACAAAACTTGGACGTCTCTTGGGACTCATCTCAAGCATGCCAACTTAAAATTTGTATACTAATATAAATTCTCTCCTTATTTCAATGTGGGACACCATAAATAGAACAATCTATATTGTCTCTCCAACTTTCAACTTCACGAAGTCAAAAATAACATCAACTTCCTGTTCACTCATAAATGGTTCTGACAAACCGATTTTGAGGTGTAACTTACCATGCAGTAAAGAACATGTCATCACTCAGACCTACCTCAAAAGACATGTAGGTCTCACTTGATCTGGACTCAAAATTGACCTAAACTGAGTTTATAAAACCAATTTCTAAGAAGACTAACCACACTGGCCAATCCAAATTGAACCAGAACTTGATTTCGATTTGGATTTTGAATTGAAAACTAGAGCTCATTTAATTAAGGCATCTCTTTGGAATAGAAGTAAATCTATATAAATAGTGTGGGGATATATTTTCTGTATACCAACACGTGGCATGGTGACGCCGACGTGTCAGCCGAGGTGCCACGTGCCCTGGTAGTTAAGCCGAGGTAATCTCGGAGAAGCCGAGGTCATCTCCGAAGATATCGGAATCCGAGATATGGGGCAAGAGTCCTAAGGCACAAAGGGGACTGAATTAAGATAAGGATAAAACTTTCAAGGAGTTTATCTGTAAAGAGTCCAGAGTAAACAGTGAACTAGAATTCATAGAAGTCATACTTCTAGTGGGACTTGGATTGAGTATATTATAAAAGAGAGGCACCCCCATGGGTCTAAGGTATGTAACTTATACTTTGAGTATTCAATTTAGTACTTGATTATCTTTGAGAGATATACTGACTTGATCGTCGGAGTGCCCCCGGGTGGAAGAACCACCGCCGGAGCTTTTTCTTTCTGTTCCAGGTTACTTTAGCCATCTATTCTGCTTGTGCTCTCCAGCTGATCACTAAACGGGCAGTGTGGTCAGATTTTCACCCACACAACAGGCAAGGTTGCCTCAAGCACCAGCGGCACCCCCTCCCCCAGCATAGCTACCACAAGCAGGAGAACCGAGGGTGGTTAATGTGATCCACTCAAGGGTCAACGAAAACGAAGTCAGAATAATTTCTAAAAATAGAGATAATAATAAGTACATTTTATCCTCTACAAATCTCATTTTAAGTAAATATATTTGTAAGTTGAATTTGTTTTTTTTTTTTTTGATCGACAAATATTAATTGTTAGTTGTTAAATTATCTTGTTAAAGAAAAAGCACCTAATTGCTTGCACTCTTTTAATTTAATTTTCTTAAGGAGAATTGAATCTATGACCTTCTTAGTATTAAGTCTTAAGTAAGGCATGGTGGCGAACTAAGTTAGGCCTAGTTGGTTTTTGTAAGTTGAAAAATGATAAAGTGTTGGGACTTAAATTTGATTTAGATAAACCTGTTTGAATAATCTTGTGTATAAAAGCAAAACAGAAACAAATCCAAACAAAAAACAATAAATTGACTTACAAAATTTATTTTTGAAAATAGAAAAGAATTTCAAAGATCAAGTCGAGTGTGTAACGCTTTATCTTTAAGACAAATTTGTCGTTGCACAAGTGTTCACGGATTAATGGAGTTTATCTTTCAGGATTCACTGATCAAACGTAGATTGTAGAAGCATTTCAAACAATCTGTTTAGCGAACTAGAACTTATATTTTGCAGTACTCTCTTAAATCTCTTTAAAATTAGTATAAGGAATGATGCAAGGAAAGAGAAAAAAGGGAAAGGAAATTGACTGAATTGAACTACTGGAGGAGCCTGAATTTATAGGCATAGTGGTGTCCATTGGGAAGCGTAGAAAACCCTCCAAACAAGTGCAAGTTTGAATTGTCGGAAGAAAAAGAAGAGGTGACCAAAGAAGGCACTATTTCAGGAAAATATAAATTCAATTTTTTTTTTTTGCAAATTTTTGAATTATTTCATTTCATAAATTTAAATTTTCCAGCAAGAATTTAAAAAAATTCAAACGTATTTTGTCCAAAAATTTAATAGCAAGACTTGACCCACAACCTACACCTGTGCCTAGCCTGGCTAGACGATGACGATACATGCATGTGGTGTTGAGTTCAAAGCATGCTTGGTCCATAACTTCCCCCTCTACAAAACTTGGACGTCTCTTGGGACTCATCTCAAGCATGCCAACTTAAAATTTGTATACTAATATAAATTCTCTCCTTATTTCAATGTGGGACACCATAAATAGAACAATCTATATTGTCTCTCCAACTTTCAACTTCACGAAGTCAAAAATAACATCAACTTCCTGTTCACTCATAAATGGTTCTGACAAACCGATTTTGAGGTGTAACTTACCATGCAGTAAAGAACATGTCATCACTCAGACCTACCTCAAAAGACATGTAGGTCTCACTTGATCTGGACTTAAAATTGACCTAAACTAAGTTTATAAAACCAATTTCTAAGAAGACTAACCACACTGGCCAATCCAAATTGAACCAGAACTTGATTTCGACTTGGATTTTGAATTGAAAACTAGAGCTCATTTAATTAAGGCATCTCTTTGGAATAGAAGTAAATCTATATAAATAGTAATCATGGAACTGATTTGATCTATTTAAATGGATTTTAAAAAAGGCAAAATTGACATTATTCATCCTCGTTCGTGTTGGTTAGGAGTATCACGTGATTATACAATCCGTAATATTTCTATGTATTATTGAATAGCTAACTAAATATGTATAAATTCTTTGTATTTATATACAATAAAATTATTCATATTCATTTTCTTATAGATTGCTGAATAAATAAATAAAAATAAAAATAATTCTTTGACAGTCTTGTGATTCATTTTTAATAAAGGGGAAACAGTTTTGTACTTTACTTTTTTTTTTTTTTAAATTAAAAAAAATCCTTCTGCAAATTCACAATTCAATTACAGCTTTAAATAATTACTTTATTTATTTATTTATTTTATCTTTGTTGGCTACATATTTTGTACAAGCCAGTTACAATTCGACGCGTGGCAAAGTAAAGGTAGTACAGGGAGACCATTCAAATTTTCGATCCTGATCGTACATGTGGCAGTTAGTATTGGTTGTTATGAGATCTGAGTAGCAGTGGATCAACAAAGAGATACAAGGTGATGTGGCATCAACGGTTACTCACATTTAAATTCAAATTTAGGAATGAAGCTTAACTGCAAGTGATGGCGTAGTGGAGCTAATCTTGAGGTTACATGATCAGCGATCATGGAGGAGCAGTTCGACGGTTGGAAATACAGTTCGATGGTCATCCTTAAGCAGTATAAATATCAGAGAAGGTCCCAAAAAAAACTGGAGACTCAGATCCAAAAAACCAGTCTTATTCTACTTTACTTAGTTTTACATATCCCGTTCTTTACATTCTAGTACTTTAAATTTTGCACTACACTTCATTCATAGGAGTAGTTTCAAGTAGATTGTCGCTGTAAACCTCTACGAAACTGAGTTTGAATCATTGTAAGTTTTTTTATTCTAATGAAATGCTTCAGTTGTTCTTTATTTGATCGGTATTCTGTTTAATTCTCCTAAATCAAGTCACCTGTAAAAGTCCTCTTCATTGAGGCTGAGAGAACTAAAACACAATCGTCTGATAATTGGTTGGCAA